AGATGCAAGTGTGATCTGATTCACATGTCACTATAATATAATTGTGGCCAACTGATTTCAAGTTACTAAACACAATAAAAATTAATAATTGTATGGAATAGTGAATTATGATTGTGTTATTTTTTCTATATATAAAATTGCATTTTTAATATGATTAAAAAAAAAACTATTTACACATTCAAATTGAATCGTGATGCTTTATTTTTTTTCTTAAAAAAAAGTCTTCCAAATATTAGGGGTGTAAACAAGTCGAGCTCGAGTTCAACTTGTTAATTAAACGAGACAACAATCGAGCTTGGACTTGTTTCATTTATCAATATTAATGAGCATCGACTCGAATAATTAACGAGCTAATTATTCGAGTCTTAAGAAGCCAAACCAATAAAAATTATACAAAAATTATTCTTTTCGAGTTTTATCAAGTCGAGCCGATGCGAGCCAAGCCCGACTCGTTAAATGAGCTTGAGTTCGTCTCATTACTCAAACTAGCAGAGCTTAATTAGCTCAAGTCTTATCAAACTGAACTGAAAACTCGACTCATTTCTCGAAGAAGCAAATCCTAACACGAGGCTTAACGAGTCGAGTCATGTTCACGAACGGCTCGTTTTATTTAACAATTATAGTTAAGCTAATATATACTTAAATTTTTTAAATTTGAAAATCATGTTCGAGAAAAAACAATGGTCTCGTATATGGAGACTTTTTACTAAAAAAAACAAGTGTGTCTCCACATGTAACATAATCGTTTGATAAGAAATGTCACGAGTAAAAAATAAAAATCATTATTAGCCATCAGTATATGGTGAAGTACTGAAGTGTGGTCTGATTAGGATAGCTAATTAGCTATACTTGTTTTCTAAATGAATTTTTATTAATGAGTTGAAAACTGTGTGTAGATAATTGTTTTCTAAATGAATTATTATTAGATTATATTTGTGTGTTTTTAAAATACAACCTTGTAATATTCCATTACAAAATACTGGTTGAGGAACAAGAGTGTAATTGAGAATGCTCATCTATCTATCAAGAGCATATTAAAATATATGGAATTACTATAGTCTTGTTACGAAATCATTTCGTCAGTATTTTTGATCGTAGATATCTACACTACACTAATCTACATGTGTTATTCCCTAAAATATATTCATCTATTCCTTGTTAATATTTTACAATCTTCCAATCACAAATCATATATTAATATCTTACCACATCACTTAATGAACATATCAGATCGTACAAGAGAAAGTGTGATATTAATATCGACTAAAAAAAGTTATACATGCAAATTTTATAAAGATAAAATAAAAAAATAAAAAGAGAAATGGAAATATTTTTTAATTGTCAAACACTTCTTAAAGAATTACATTATTAATTTTTTTTTGTTTAGAATACAAATGTCAAATATTGGAGATCCCAAAACATGATTAATTCAATGTATTAATGCATGAATAATTGATAACAAATTACAAAAATTATTAAATTTTAAAATATATTTATAATTTCAGTTAGTCAGATATTTTATAAGTCTAATATACTCCTAGTTGGCATTGATAAAAAATGATATCTATATGGACTCTGAAACAAAATACATTGATACATGATATTAAACACCAAAACTTGATCCATAATTAAAATTAGCAAACTTCATAATTACTTCATAATTACTTCGATCATAGGCTCGGACAACTCTACGTCTGGTGATAAAGTCCATACGTATGTGGACCACTCTAAAATACAAAAAACTGACACATAAAATTACAAAACTCAAAAATTCGATTTAGTCTCAAACAACTCTCCATTTATATATATTGGACGATTTATTTATTTATTTTTTCTCACTTCTTTGTTACGTGTCGAGAATCTATGTGCTCTTTCGAACAATCCTCATTAATTACTGCGTTCACTGGTTTTTATCACAGTAACAATCCACGACAAATATTCCAGTTAATTATAAGAAAGAGGCCAATTATGATCTTTGTACTCCAAAAATGGCCACCTAAGAAAAAATATTTTATTCTAGCTAGTGATCATCCATTGTTTCATAAAATTGAAGAAAAACTAATAAGCAATCGTGTTAAAATGGCTTTCTAATGCCATGACAAAGAAGTGTAACACCTTTGCTTGTGCCTATATATACACACACACTTGACATTCTTAGCATTGTT